ATAAAATTAAATAACTATTTAAAATGTTTAGACAATAGTCAATATTATGCATCAACCTAAATTGGTAATGTGTTTAAATAATTATATTATAGATAAAAAAAAAATTAATAATACATTTTATAATAATACAAGCAAAAAAATACATAAACACAATTTAAAATAAAGTTAACTATTAACTTATACAAGTAAATGGAAAAAATGAATAAATTCAAAACGTAAAATAACATACAAATAAAAAAATTAATTTGGAATATGAACAAAGATTAWTAAGATAATCATTAAAAAACATTTAAAATTAATTACAATAATTGTATTTCACTTTTGTCAATATATTTAAATAATATATATCATTTAAAAACAAAAATTCAATACATATATATTTAAGAATAAAAAAAACAAATTTCATGATAAATTGTTCTTACTATGCACTGAAATAATAGTAATAATCATGGTAAAAATTCAATCATAAAGTTAAAAAGAACTAGTAACACACACAGCTATTTTTTTTACTTTCAAGCATGATTAAAAATAATAATTAACTCTAATCAATAAAGCTTTGCTCCACACACATCTTCACTCGTTTCTCATACTCTCTGCGATTCTCTTTATACAATTGGGCAGCCATAGAATTAGCAGGTGAATTAGGATTCGGATCACTAAGAAGTGATTGTATGGATGTCAAAATAGCAGCAACATCATAAGTAGGACTCCAGCGGTTCTGTAATATATCAAGACAAATACCTCCATCTGCATAGACATTTGGATGAAACATTTTTGAAACAAATCTAACTGTTGGTGGCTTGTTAGGATATTCTTCAGTAAATTCTATTGTCAATTTAAATGTGCCATCTTCAAATGGAGTATCATGTGGTCCAAATATCACAGCTTTCCACAACATAATATTGTTATCAGTTGGTGTGCCACTGATACCTGCAGGTGGATCTTCTTGTAATTTTTTAAAGTCTCGCATCAGTCTACGTCTGGCAGGAGTTGACATAATGAATGGTAACTTTTAATATTTTATAAAAACAAACCTGTAAAAATAAAATAAATAAAAATTAGACACAAATTAGACACAAATTAGAAAAATTATATAAGTTAGATTAGGTATGTCATACATTTTTTACATAATATTCATTTGTCAGACATTAAAAATTTAAATTTATTTTTGTATTTGTTCATTGAAACGACCTCTAAGTATTCGTCACCAGTGGGTAGTAGGGAGATCAWGTGAACTATTTATCTATGTATATATCACTATATACATGATACTACCCCCTTTCTCCAAGAGGATACATGTGCAGTCTTCACTCCCAGTGGAGTGGGACCTAGTTGGAAACCRGAAGACGCAATTGGACGACAGCTTGGAGATTTGGTGATCACGTAGAACCACACAATTTTTTTTTTGCACTTTGCTATGAATCGAACCGATGACTGTGTGAGTCGTAGTCAACTAATCAACTACGTGACCACTGTGCTACTCTGGCCATTAATTAAAAATTTAATTATGTTAAAAAATATGTGCATTCAGTATATACAAAGTTATTAGTATTAACAAATAAATAATAAAAATTATCATCAATGGGGCTTTCAAAATTTTTTGATAGAGAGCAGAAAAATTAATWACAGTTTACCATGTGATCATCTTGTTTCAAAATAATAATATAATATTAATTAAGCATCAATAATTACTATTATTCCTAATCTTTAAAAATAAAATTAAAATGAATTATCATTAATAAAA